CGATTTCGTGACAATAAATTTTTTCAACGATTTTAATAATTACTCGTCATTATTGACTTAGGATAGATCAGCTCACACATTTTTTTACTGTCCTGATCTTTTTTCGTGCGTATGAATGAAAGAGTTAAGTTCGAATTTCCTCTGCCAACTAAAGTAATTGAAGTCACCAATAAAAGTGCTTAGATCTGAGAAAAAAATAAAAAAATTTCTTCTTTTTTTGGGAATCCTTATCACATGTTAGTTTCACTGAAAGTTCAAGACATTGTGGCGTCAAAAATTCAAAATTTTCCGGAAGAATCAATGAAAACTGTCGATTTCAGTCCAATTACGTCATGAAAATTAACAGAACTAATAAAAAATCCGATGAATATATTCCCGAATTGTCAACTAATTAAAAATTCCGCATAATTTGACAGGATATGCATGTATTGATACAAAATCCGAGTAAATTGGGCAGTTCTCACCTTCCAAGAGTTCAAACATTTGTAATTTTCTCCCCTCAAATCGAATTCAATGTCACTCTCTTTTGTTCTGCCGCCCATTATTTTTTTGTTGACCTCATCTTCTTCATGTGAATGAATGAAAAACTTGAGTTTCAATTCCCGCAGCCAATGAAAGTAATTCAACTCCCAGATAATATCGTCAATAATAATGTTACCTATCCAACGAAATTGCGGATGGGAATGGCCTCTGGGGCACATTAGCAATGCCATTATTCGGCCTTAAATGTTTTCCCTCTAAATCCAGCTGGAAGTTGTGTAACATTGTTCTCCCTGCATTATCCCTGCCGTATCATGCAGCTGCATCAATTGATTCTCCTCTCGTCGACTGTCATGATGCAGATTAGTTTATGAATGAAGGATGATTTTACCAAATAATTTGATCCAACTAAAAGGAGGGACATAATAAATATGTATCATGCATATGAGTCCACATAAGCATTTAAATGTCCTTCGGTTGACCCAATTACTCGTATTGTAATGCTCCCAGCTGCGAAATAGTCCGCTAACCCGTAACGCAGATATATTAAAATACTAATCTCCCCAACGAATGGCGTTTGGCCTCGTATTCCTTTCTGACCCCTCGCTACAGAGCGATTGAAGTACGGATAAGTAAATTGCAAATGCTAAATGGAACTTTGGAATGTTGATGGAATTTTCAACTTCGTAAACTGTGATTGCAAGTTTTTTTCCCAACCGACTGCACTTTTATAAATGAGAAAACGGAATGGAAAACAGAAACTTAAGTGGATGCTTGTTTTTCAATTACGGGGACTTAGAAAGATTGAGATTACATCATTTCAAGAGGGAAATTTCCAATTCTTCTCTGAGATTGGAGGTTTTTTTTTGGCGAAATGAACGTGGAAAGATTTACGGCGAAACAGTGAAAAAGAGCTGTAAACGGTAATGCACTATTTGGAGGGGAACGAAGTTTCCAATACCCAGGAGGAAGATTAAACTCGGTGTATACTACTGGCTTCCAGGGGAATTATATCGAACGGTTTTCTGAAAAAATGGACTTGAAGTTGAAATAGAAATGGGAATCTCGGTGAATAATCTTCTCGGATCAAGCCGGGATAACGTGAATTTCTTTGTTATTCGAAAGGGCCACTTGTAAAAATAACTCTTCATGGTTGAGGACACGTTATGAAATAATGAATAATAAATTAACCTGCAACGAGAGCGAGTTCTCGGGGAGTTCTCGGGATTGGGCGAAATGTCATTGGCGTTATTTCAATATTTTCTTTTATCACGACCATACGGAGATAAAAAATTACCTTTGCCAAGTATATTTAATAACTACAAGGAAATTTACACATGTCTTATGCAGATATTTATATACATTTACTTGTAGCAAGTAAATGTAATTGGCAAAAGCAATTTTTTTCTCAGTGCAGGCAATTGCAGAGAATACAAAAATGAAAATGTAGAGGACACGGAGAAAAAAGGGTTGACTTTCAGGGATGTATCAGGCTTTTCAGAGGTCCATACCTAATTATTAGAAATTATCCTCGATTTTTAGAGATTTGCCATTGCGAAATTCACTGATTTTTTTACTAATTTTGAGTGGGGTAGCCTCTAATTAATTGATGAACTATCGTGTATTTGATTGATTTGTCCTCAGGGGATCACTTAAGCCCAGGACTGAATGAAAAAAATTTCTACCTATCTATCTCTGCAATTTTCACGGAAATATCACTGATTTTCAGGGAAATATCACTGATCTTCCGAGAAATGTCACTGGATTTCAAAAAAATGTCACTGATTATCAGTCCATCATCAAATTTCAGTGATAGAAATCACTGATGATCAGGGCTATCCGAGTCAGTATCCACGCCGACGAAAAAAAATTGTTGCCCAAGAGAAATTTATTTTGGGAATTATTTATATTGAGAACTTTTTCCTACCAAATATCTAATAGAATCTGCGCAAAAAACGAATGGAATTTTAACGAGAATTCTCCGGAATTTGAATAAAATCCCCATAAAATTTCTAGAGAATTCCAATATAATTTTCTAGCGAACTCGCTAAAGTTTTCTATTAAATTTTTTCATACGTGAGCCGGACAGAGTAAGGAACATTTTTTACTAAAGATCATATTTTTTGGTTCACTCATAAAAGCGTGGGGATGTCTCAAAAAATCACCAATTTTTTCAATATTTATATAGCTACGCTCGTGCCGCATTCGGTTAATGAAAATAGCTATCGAGCGAGAAAAAATTTGGACCCAACCCATTTTACCCCATGCATCAAGTGAAAGCCTCGTTTTTCGTATTTTTCATTCGATCTACACTTTTTAAAAAATATTCGTTCCATTCCTAAAATAAAACTAATTTTTTTCGTTTTTGCATGCCATACAAAAATCATTGTTTCACTATTCCCTTCAGTATTAAAAAATTGCTAATAGATATCTAAAAATCAGTGACATACACCTGAAAATAATTTTTACCCTGTGAATCTATTTTTTGATCACATGAATAAGAAATTCGTACCTCTCTTTATTTCAAAACGTCCCAGATTCATTGAATCCACTGAAATCTGTACTCTGGGTAAATCAATTCTTTGTTCATTCCCCAGAACCCTCGAAACCGGGATTTGAGATTACAAGGGTCTGACCCTCTGGACCTCCCCTCAGCATCCCATCGAAATATCTCCTCTCAGCCCCAAGAAGAAAACCCCACTACAGATAAGAGCCACCACAATGTACAACGATCTGACTCAGCGATCCGCCTGTTTCCATCTGAGAGCCAAAAAAAACCGAAACTCCAAACTTTTAACGGCAGTTCGGTATCCCCCAAAAAGTTGTTGGAATGAGTCCATTGTGGAATGTGATTGAACTCTTGTGAATCGCAAAATGAGGGAGAAAAAAAATAGGAAGAGAAAATAGTCTTGGGGGATTTCATAAGGATCAGGGGATTGCATTGAGACAGTAAAAACCGGAAGGCTCTTCTGAAGATGGAACAATAAAATGAGGGAAAATGAGAGAAATGGTGCATACGACTTACCTACGGTGAGCGCATGAGGAGTTGACCCCGACTTGCGGGTTGATTGACCCCTGCGCGACAACACTGCACTATCGATTCAGTGTCCACGTGGTTCACTGCACTCTAACATTAACCAAAATCATAATCACACGATTGTTCACCCATTCAACTGATCAGACCCCAAAGTGCATTAGAAAGTCGTGATCGCATTATTATTTTTTTCAATTATAAATCCCGAGGGTGGTAAATCGATTTCTCGATTTTCCCGCGCATGGGGAGGAGCACGTTGGGAGAATTGTTGGATTACGATTCAGTGATCGGTGGCTTATAGTTCTTCGTCTTTATTTCATTAGTTTATGGGGGAGCTTTTCGGGGATGTTCGAACGTACGCGCAATGCGGAGCTTTACGTGCGAATGCGATTGGCAAGAGGACTCGACTTATCACTCGGGAGGTGCCGGCGGCTGTCGGGTACTCTCGGCTCGCTTGTTCCAGTAACCCCCACTTTTTATTACTCCCTCGGTCGTTTGCCGTACACGAACCACCCCTCATTTATTCGTCAGTGGCACCATCCGTATTTTTTATATTTTTCTCTTTTTCATCAACGAACTCTGGGGGAACTCCGGATCAATTTTTTTCATCCACGATTTCCGTTTTCCAACTTTTCTGGTTAACATGGAATTGTGAAAAAATGGGTTGGTGAAAATGGAGGAAAAGTATAAAAGTTTTCCTTTTGCTTTCGCAACTTCTCGTGGATGATGCAAGTCTGGATTTTTCACTAGATGATGCCCAAGAGGATTGACTCTTCCCGAGGGGGCGAACGGACACGACGCTTCATAACAAAAAATAAATCTTGCTGGTAGTTCTGTCAGATGAAAAACGCCACGTGGCACTCCAGTGCGAAGGGCTCTGAAGAAATTCGGAGGCCCTGGATTGTGGATTTTTTAAATGCTCAACTTTCTGCGCATTTTTGATATCTTTTATTTATCAGGTAAACATGTAAATGAATAAATATCAATGGAGTTATCTCCACTCTCTAAAAATTCTAAGAATCATTCACGAATCACCCCTCATTTATTTATCACTGGCACTGTCCGTATTTTTCATATTTTTCCGTTTTTCCTCAACGAACTCTGGGGGAACAACGGATCAATTTTTTTCATCCACGATTTCCGGTTCCCAACTTTTCTGGTTCACATGGAATTGTGAAAAAATGGGTTGGTGAAAATGGAGGAAAAGTATAAAAGTTTTCCTTTTGCTTTCGCAACTTCTCGTGGATGAAACAAGTCTGGATTTGTCACTAGATGATGCCCAAGAGAATTGACTCTTCCCGAGGGGGCGGACGGACGCAGGCCAGTGGAAACCTGAGCCATCACTTTGAACGACTGTTCATAACAAAAAATAAATCTTCCTGGTCCTTCTCTTAGATAAGAAATGCCACGTGGCACTCCAGTGCGAAAGGCTCTAAAAAAATTCAGGGTCCCTGGATTATGTTTTTTTTTAATATTCAACGTCCTGTGCAGTTTTGAGATCTTTTATTTATCAGGTAAACATACAAAAGGAGTATGCAATGCGAAGTGGCATGAGGTCAGACAACATTAACTAATTTTATCATTTATAATTCACTATTCAAGTGGAGAAAAACAAGGGCAAATATCAATTGAGTTATCTCCACTCTCTGAACATTTCAAGAATCCTTCCAGTTCTCCAATGATAAGTCAATCGTCAATTAAGAAAGAAGGAATCACCATAAAGAATTGAGTTCTGCGCTCTCGCCTCGGAGCTCATGTATTTCTCGTAGAAAAGTTGGATTTATTTTCTGGCCTCGATATTTCTTTTTGCACCACTCAACTAAATAGTTAATTTTTCAACCTTTTTTTCACGTTTCCACACTTTCGCCGCTCAATTCATTCCTTAATTACTTAATTTAATAAATATACGAGAAATAAAACAGACAATATACTCTTGCTAATGCCCTCGTGGCTGAAATTTTTTTGCATTTTCATGTTTTTATCCATTTTTTTCGTCATTATCACGTTTACAATGCGTAAGATTAAATAGTATTCATATACTCGCATTACATTAAAAAATTATATCTACGACGATTAAAAGTTATAGGTGAACCCCATTTTCCAAACTTGGATTGAATTATTTTTTTTTTGTTGACGCGCATTAAGGTGTTATCAACTGCTATCCTTCGTTAAATTATACTTTCATAACTAAATTTGTTTATTCCTATTCGTAAGAATTGTTTCATTACTGGGGGATGAATCTGCACAGACGCACCTAGGAGGATAACAAATATAAGATAAAAATGATGAATTCATTCCTTTTAGTAAAATAGAGAAAGAAAAGGTGCTATCAAATCGATGAAAGATGCGGAGAAAATGACAAAATTCACTCACTTTCATCTTTGATGGTTCAAATATTTCCAGCTATTCTCTCCTAGTTTATATATCAAATATTATGAAATTAAATATGTGAGTGCGTTTTGCAGTGCATGATTATCATAGGCATTTTTCTTCCTTGAAGAAATAATTCAATTGAATACCAGTATGCAATTAGTGACGCAAGGGAAGAATTTTTCAAAGAACATTTCTACATTGTTTTTTTCAATTCATAATGAATTAATGGAAAAGAGAAAGACGTTTTTACATTCTTTTCCAAAAACTTGTCATTAGAAAATTGGTCTTCGTTGGTTATTTTTACTTGTAATTCAATCTTGTAGCCTTTGGAAAAGGAAACACATTTCATTTCTTCATCTGATTTCTCTCATTTTTTTTGTCGTAATGAAATTAAAAATATTTACATGGAACGATTTTTTAACCGATCAATTTTTTTCAACGAATTTGTGCGAGTCGCGAGATGTAAAATCATGTAACAACGGTAGAGCATATTATTACCAAAAAATTGTGATCACGATGGCTTTTTCTTCAATTATTCATATGTACAAGTATTCATTATCCCTACTTTATGGAATAATTCCGTTTATTTTTGATTAGTTATCAACATCTTTGTGTTCCATAAGCACATGACCCACACGAAGATCTTTTAAAAATATAAATTTCCCTTGAGAGTTGAAAAGAAATTGAGAAAGGAAATTATTTCATTATCCTGTAACGCCAGATCTGACCTAGAAATCTTCAAACATTCATTGACGTAACCAAAAAAATTTATAATTTTATCTACTTTCACCATTCAAGTTATTTACAATTTTGTATTTTTTGTTTGCATTGTACATGAACGCAAGGATTTAACGACTTATCAAATATGTATACTTCGAGATATGTACATATTAATTTAATTTACTCTTCCTTCCGAAGCTATATTGACAAGTGCCACGAATCTGACAATCACCACAATTGTTTTGAACAACAAAAAAATTCCTCACCTCCCTATATTTTATTCTCTGATTCATATCTCACAAAGATATGGAATTTATTGTCTTACGAAGAAAAAATTCAATTCTAAACGTCAGCCAGAGTCAACGGTTTAAAATCATCTAATTAAAAAAATTGAAAAAATATCGTGATGATTTGATGAATTGGTTCTAGCACAAAAGTTCTAACGATGAATTTTCATAAATAATTCTTAGTTTTTGTCGTTAAAAATGTCTAGTCGACACCTTAAATTGATGAGATTTATGAAAAAAAAACTTTCACATGAACTTTGTCCTCAGTATTAATATCTTTTTCAAAGTTATCATGATCATTGCCCTTTACTATCTATCAACTTTTACGCTATATTACTTAGGTTTTTACTTTTTTTGTCAATTTTATCGTTTTTATAGTTTTTATTGATTTTCTGAAGGGCCCGAAACGTTGAGTTGAGTCATTCATTGAAAATAAATGATTCACACGTCTCATGTCTCCTAATATAATCAATTGTCGTCTTCTCCTTTGACTTTGAATATTCATGCAAAATGCTGTGAAATTCATATCCCTCGACTCGGTGCCCTTTCGTACGGAACGTTTATAAATAAAATTGCTTCACACGTATTATAATTCTGTATCATCACAAGCGAATCGTCATCCACATCTGAATAATCCGTTTCAAGGACCTCCAGGAGTGTCAGTACTATCTTGATTCACTCTTCGATTAAGATTATTTTTTTCCGTTTTCGTATTTTATGTATTTTTTTTTGTTATTTTTTTCCCTCATCCTTTGGAGTACCAAGGATCGCTATTTTATAGATTAAAAATGCAGCCATTTACCAGGGTCACGCCGACATGTAGAGGGTTACACTGGCAATGTGCTGGTTCGCCATAACTTCGACTATGGCATCACGTATTCCGTAACAGAAGGTGCAACCAAATGGATTTGTTGTATTTGTGGAGGACGCACGATTCAACACTACTGGACGAGAGCTCGCTTTCAATTGTTCACTCACTTTGTCCCATTTTGTGTAGGCAGTGATCTGCAATTGAAACAAATCAACATAAATGAAGGCGTGTGGCTGCACTGTTAAAGATGTTTATTAGTTTTCCGAAAATTGAATTTTTTTATTTTCGAGGAAAATTCTGTAATTTTTTGGACTGATAGGGGAACATGTGAAACCAACATCTCTGATAATTTAGAAAAATTAGTTGCAGTAGCTTTGACGAAACGAAACAGACAAATTTTTTCTTATACACGAGCTCTTATGGGATTTTCGACTGTCCATGAAATTCCATTTCTTTTCTAACAAATATAGGACAATCTTTTTCATCATTGGTTTGTACTGAGAACTTTGTTTCCATTCTTTCTCCACTTACATTATTTTTTCCACTATTAATAGTATTAGATTTTGGAGTGGGATAAGGAATGGAACCAATTTGTAAAAATCAGAGATGTGTACATTTCACGAATGAAATAAAAATTGAGGTTTGCTTTTTTAGGTTAAAAAAAGGTGCTGTTTATTATTCTATAGATGAATAATTATTTACTTTCAAAAAATAAAAATGAAAAATTGATTATGACATTCTAGTTCCACTGCAATTTCAAGGAAATCCAAAATTCATCATTAAAAATTCAAAATTTAATGGAAAAAACAATAGATACTATAAATATTAATTCAGTTACATTATTTTTTCCACTATTAATAGTATTAGATTTTAAGGAATGGAACAAATTTGTAAAAATCAGAGATGTGTACATTTCACGAATGAAATAAAAATTGAGGTTTGCTTTTTTATGTTAAAAAAAGGTGCTGTTTATTATTCTATAAATGAATAATTATTTACTTTAGAAAAATGAAAATGAAAAATTGATTATGACATTCTAGTTCCACTGCCATTTCAAGGAAATTCAAAATTCATCATTAAAAATTCAAAATTTAATGGAAAAAACAAAAGATACTATAAATATTAATTTAGTTGGTCCACGAAATTCAATTTTATTTTCTAACAAATATAGGGCAATCTCCTTCATCATTCGTTTGTACTGAGAACTTTGTTTCCATTCTTTCTCCACTTGCATTATTTTTACCACTATTAATACAACTAGATTTTAAGGAATGGGACCAATTTGTAAAAATCAGAGATGTGTAAATTTCACGAATGAAATGGAAATTGATTATTATCAAGGCGTACAAATAAATTTATTCGTTCTAGAGGTGTTTGAATATTTGAAACAATTCATGACAAATTGAACTTCATTATCCAACTCAACAAAATTCGTTGGTTCTTCGCACTCCTCTCCATTTCCACTCTCATCATTAAAATCAGTCATTACCGTGATTGGCGAGGGGCTGACATCGATGAGTTTACCAGAGTCAGCTTGACTATTTTCAGGAGGTAGTGTCAGAGTGAATTCACAACGATGATACATGTTGAAATTGTAATGACCTGGGTAATTGGTGTGAAGTACAAATTTTTTGACACACTGGGTTTTCGCGTCAAACAAAAGGTCCTGAAATAGAGCACAAATGAATATCCGAACAGAATCGTTAAAAACTAATTGACATCAAAGAAGAATTCAGCGGATATTCTACTCACGATTCCCAGGGTAAAGTAATTATAAAAGAAATCCGAACGTCTCGTTTTGTCTCTTTTATGTGCATGAGGACTGTGAATCCTCATTTTGTCTTCAGCCTTAAAGAAAACTCGTGAAGGTGCGCCCAGTGCACTCAACACATCCTCACAACTCTCTCCAAACCAGACCTGAAGCATTGAATAATCCAGTTATCAACGTAATAATGAAACCCCCTTGATCCAATTCATTCATTCAATTTTGAGGAATTCTTTTAGTACCTCTTTAGTGAGATTGTGCTTTTTAGGCTCCAGCAGTACTCTCGTAGCTGAACTCCCCTCGGTAAATAGGTGCAGTCTCAATCCCCGAGTTCTCACTTTGTCTCTGATAACCTCAGCTTTTTCTAAATATAAATTATTGTGGTAGCAGACCTGAGAAAACAACAACGACATCAAGTGAAAAGCGATTATTGGCGGATTGATGGAAAGAAGAGAGCGGAACCATCAAGAATATCCAGACAACTGATCATCAAATTTGTTGATTTAATTGTGTGAAACAAATTTGAAAAGAATTATGAATACATTTGGCAAAGAATTACTTCTTTTGCACGAATTGGTTTTTTCCTGGGGTGAAATTATTTCACGAATCGTACCATGAATGGCTAACATACTTGGATATTCTTGAGGAATAAGGACTTACCAAAGGTAATGGTGGTGGTGGTGCCTTGAGACAATGCTCCTCACTCCCCACAGTACCAGCAGCCATACTACCCACATAAATTGCAGTTTTAGCTACCAATGGCGATGTACCATTTGGAAATTGCAGTGACCCTAGCCCATGTGCATAACCAGGCTGAAACTTCGAGTCAATTGGGAAATAGAACGACAAACCCCGGAAATTGAGCACAAAGACCTGAAGAAAAAAACGAAGAATTTATTAATAATTACTCAGTAATAATTCCTATTAATTCATTTTTTTTTAATTACCTGTTTATCACTGTCGTAAACTCCTGGATGTGTTGCACCAAACGAGTGTTCAATCTGCTCGATCGATGGCAATACTTCAGGCGAATTGAATGGTAAACCACAGTACTTCAGTTTAACAAGTTTCATGTTATATATTTCAATAATTTTGAGCCTCTGAACTACTGGATCGAATATGAGTCTCACCCCATCGTAGGGTAAATTTATTACTAGATCTACTTCTAATGGATTCTGTGAATAACAGAAAAATCCGTTAATTTCTCCCCAAATTGAATAATGAGGGACGGGTGGGGCAAAATGGACACTCAATATGAGTGAGAAGTGAGCGGGGCAAAGTGGAACGTTTTTAGATCGTCTCTAATTACGAATATTGTTCTTTATGAATGAAGATATTGGAATTTGGAGAAAATCACGTTTTATTTTGCCTCGTCTTCCCCTAATTTATTGCATTCTCATATCTCATAAGTTATGGAATTTTTCTATCCTCATATGTTGTTGATGAAGGTAACATTAGCTGTTTGAATCAAATAAGAAATTATTTGTTAATCAATTGTTTCAATTCAATAAGAAGCGATTTGACGAAATTTTTATTTCTTAGATTGGAATATCGGAGAAACCTCTACTATATAATTTTATAAAAAATTCATCGTATTCGGAATTTATCAATCGACCACGAGTGAGTTTTTTAAGAATATCGTAAGAACCGTTTTCTCACTATGCCTCCATTGACAAAAACAAAAGGTTTTGAGAAATACGTTTTTACTTATATCAAGAAACTTCTAACTTGAAAATTTTCAAGAATAAAATATCTTGCACTAAAAAAATTTAATTGATTTGAGAACTCGATTGCTTGATATGGAGAAATTGTCCTCATCTTTCGGACAAGTATAAAATTTCTTGGCGTAAGATTTTGGAGCTGGGGAATATTATAAACATTAACTATGAAAAACATTAGAGTAATCGTTAAAAAAAACCTTTCCTGGGAACATTTTCCCTAATGTTCACAACTCAGGAATAAATTTATCAATTGCGGTCAGTCTCTCCATAGAAAAAAAAGATCCTACTCAATCGAAAAATGAATGAGTTCGTGTCCATTTTGCCCCACTTGCCCCGATAAAAAATGTGGTAAATACTCACAGTATCACTATAAAGTACTTGTACACCTCTAATAATGCCCACTTGACTCTGTATTATCGATACAGATTGAGAAAAATGCATACCTGAAACGCAAGCAATCAATCAAACCCACTTTTTCCAATCAACAAACTCCCAGTCGCAAACAACCACATTCCACACATTAAAAAACTCCATTAACAATTTTAATTTATCAACGTAGTAGCAACAAATCGTCGTTACATAAAAATCCCACGTTAACATTTTTGGCAAACCCCAAGGAGCATTTTTTCAAACACAATTACATAATTTCCTCGTCGAAAGAAACAAAATTTCTGTCACAATTCCCAGAATTTTGTTAACAAATAATTGGAGTAAAGTAAATAAGGCGCTAGAGGGGGGGCGAAGTGCACAGGATTTCCGCATGAAACTTTGAGGGGGGTACGAGGGGAGGGGGTACACAGGATAGAACGTAAACACAACGCCCAGTGCAGAAGGAAAACTCCAAAAACATTTTTTTCATTATTTCATTTTTCCGTTTAATTTGCCCGAGGTAACGACGGAGTAAAACTTATCGTCCAGATAAAATTGCTCGTCGTGTTTTGTGCGTAATACAACAATAGAAATTTCGTCACTCACCTAAAATAAATTCCCACTGGTCACAACCGATGGATCTTTCGGGCACAACTTCGAGCTCCAGCATTATAATCAATTGTTAATCTGCCTTGGCTCGACCTTGCCCCTCTCACTCGTTTTATATTTTTTTAATGTAAAAAAAAGAATTAATTTCACTGACTCAAAGTTCTGATTGTTGGCAAAAAGACAACGAGCACTGAGAATACTGTTGACGTAATAATTTGTTTTGAACTGTTGATAAATGAAAATTGCCCAAGTTACGTTGTATTACTGCGTTGTTTCTTTGTCTTCTTCTGGGCTATAACGCGACGTACGAGGCAGGCGCTCAGTTGACGGCCATATTGCCTTTTCTGCCAGAACACAAGCACACACTACTATCACAACCGATGGTGAACTGTCACCGAACAGCTGATGTTACCCCCACTTTTATTTATTTTGTGTTGTTACTCGGATACCCCCCACTGCCGCTCCTTTCCATTTATCGTCGGTTTTTTTTTTCTGGTACTTGCGATTTTCGGACGACGTTGTGAATCGATACATCCGTTTGCGAAAAAAATAGTGGATTTTGTTCGGTTAACTAGGAGAAAGGGGGGAAATTGTAAGAATGGAGCGGGAAATCTCGTCTTGCTCTCGCCGTTTTACTTGATTCCCCTTATTTGCTTATTTTTCGCCTTCACACGGCTTCCTGACACTCCGCGAGCACTTGGAGTCGTTAATTATAATTTAATCAGGCCAGGGTTAATTGCCAATACAATGTATGGTTGGCTGGATTCGAATAAAAGGGAGTGATGGATTTCAATTGAAGGCCCGAGTTTGTAGCAGCGATGTCAGACAAGATATGAATGTTTTTTTGAGCTCAAATGAAAGAGCGGGTCGAGAAATGGCGTGCAGAAGTCTTTAAAGATGACAAATCTCTCTAAAGATGATGTCTGTTTTCAATTGAAAAGCGCAATTGTGACAACATTTTCCAGTGGGTTCTAGGAGTCTCCCCTGGTTCAACACCATCTTTAGAGGTCCTAGCACGCCATTTCTCGACCCGCTCTTTCGTTTGAGCCCAAAAAAACATTCATATCTTGTCTGACATCTTTGCTACAAACTCAGGTCTTCAACTCGGGCTTTCAATTGAAGGCCCAAGTTGTAGACATGAGTTTGTAGCAGCGATATCACACAAGATATGAATGTTTTTTTGGGCTCAAATGAAAGAGATGGTTTTGAACCAGGGGAGACTCCT